TGTTGCTCAGAGGCAAAACAAGAAAACAGCTGTATGTGTGAGACAAGGGAGAAATAAAATAAAACTGATATTGCAGACATGACAGTAACCTGAATGCGCCAGACTCCAGGTGAGAAACCAGTTCATCCTACAGTCACAACTCCATGGATTATCATGCAGCACAAGGGTCTCCAGCAGAGGTGCTTTCACTAAGGTGTCTTTGGGCAGAGTGGTTAGACTGTTGTTGGACAGATCTAAGTGCCTAAACAAGGGAAAGAAAGGACAAAAAAAAACTGAGATGAAGATGAGGCAGGAGAACACAGAGGAATGGAGAAAGAGATGAGGGAGTGTGCAGGTTAGTGGTAATAAAATCAGCCATCAGTTTTGGCATTTCTTTGTCTTCAGACCCAAATTATGTTTTCACTCGACAGCAGCGGAATGACAGCATCATGGATGATGTTGGTACAGCTTTAAATACCAAAAACCAGTGGTGGAAATTTTACCTTTCTATTAGGCTATAGGAAAGTCAGTCCAGTATCACATTATTTCCAGTTCTGGAGCATTTTAATCAGTTATCTATCACTTGGTGATAAAACAGCTCAAGTCACATGTGTTTCTCAAATGTTTTTTTATGATTTTTCATGTCATATTTTCACAAATCACATTACTGAGAAAACTGTAAGGTGTCCTCCCTATTTCTTTGTAGGATAAACAAACTTTACATACTACAGAACGTTAACATTCCTTTCTGTCCTCACTGTCAGAATCACAAATAGAGTTATATCTGCTTACTAAAACAAAATTTCATAAGTACTGTATCTTGCCCAAAAATGATGATTACATTATGTGCTTGTTATTGCTGAAGCTCACCTGAGTGTAGAAAAGTAATATGTATTTAGCAGGGACAGTGTGCATAGAGCATGAGGGTGCAGCTGATGCAGTCTGTTCCCTTGCAGACGCAGCAGCCTGAGGCTTGGCAGCTGGAGCAGGGCTCGGGGGTGGATATGCTGCAGAAGGTTGTGATCCAAGTACAGACGCAGAAGTGAGGTCAGGCCGGAGAAGGTCAGAGATGAGGAGATCTCTGTCAGCTTATTATAACTCAGCTTTAGTGTCTGTGGGGGCGGAAGAAATGAAGTGAACAAAAAAGACATCAAGGCTGATGAAGAATCAAAGTCTCTGCTATGATCATAATTCTGTCATTGGATATCACAGGCTTGTAAATTGAATTTATGACAAATAATGTGAGGAGAATTGAAATGAGAATGAAGAGTGAAAAGCTCTATGTAAGCAAAACGCTGTGTACATTTTAAAAATATGAATATTTTCATCAGCTCACCTTATCATATGTAAAAATGGATATGCTGTAATGCTGTGAGGCCATCGGGTCAAAGCACTGACAACTAAAAGGATAAAGCAGCACTAGTGGTTTTTAACTTATGAAATATGAATTTTAGCCCTTCATCCTCTGCAGAAGACTCTTGGGGCCCTATCATTATTCTAGCCATAGAGCCCACCAGAAATTTAAGACGGCACACCATGAAAACCAGGTTGTGCAATTGTGTTTCTGCAGTGGGGATACTTAGCTGAAAGAATTCCAGCTGCTGACAGACCTAGCACGTGGCAATGTCAGCGCAAGTAAATATGGGTCCTATTATCACATAATGGCAAATATATCAGCATCTGCCTAAGAGATGAAGGGAATAATTGCTTGTTGAGTAATATCACACCTCTCATGGACTGCTAACTCTGCCCTGAGGTTGATGCTAAAAAAATAATATATTTCCTGTCACTGGTAAATGAAAAGAACAATGGCACATTTACTTGGTACAGAAGGTATTTGCTGAAAAGTGTGAACAGATTGATGTAAACTGCTAAATTACTTTGCAGACTAGTTTCACAAATCAAATGTAAAGTTGATCTTCTTATGAATCTATTTGTTATTAACAACATAACTGCAAGATTTAGGCATATTTATCAAGGTAACATGTTCTCTAAAATGTGCCAAAACCATTTGACAAATGCTATATATCTTGATAATCCCCAGATTCCTTGTGTTAATATATTGAAATCTGTTCTGTTAAACAGTTTAAGTATATTCATTTCTCATAGTTAGGGAGCTTGACTGTGAAGTACTATATGGAGAATGTTTGTGATTTGAGCTTTCCCATTTGAAGTGGTGCAGAGGCCCCTGTGTGGTCCTCCTTGCCTGGGAGTTGTAGGCACTCAAGTAAATGTTGTGCCTTGCTCCAGGTTCGATGTCCCCATCTGCTACTTTAAAAATCGATAACGTTAAAAGAATTCAAGGTTAAATATGTGTGGAAACAATGGTTTATTTTTGCCATTAACAGCCATAAATTTTATAATTTAGCAATGATAGTTTGATTTGGCAAAGAGAAGTTACAGGATACTTTTAATGTTGGCTGCCTGAGAGACAGTTCTACTGTAGTTTCATAAAGATAACTACAAATTAAGAACCAGCAGAGGTTTTTATAGGATCGTTTCCTATCTCCACCACCACAAAATGCTGTTTCTGCATCATCTTTTGATTGTCCTACCCAGTGAACTTTCATTGATTTTGATTTATTTTAAATTTCCTCTCTCTCAGATCCCAGATTCTGTAACTCAAATACAGAGGCCAAATGTACTTTGTAATGCAAGCTGTTGCTGCTTGTTTTCCTGTTTACCTGCAGTGATTTCATATCTCTGAACACTGCATCTGGAAGATGGTGGAGGTCATTGCTGTGGAGCATCAGAAGCTCCACCTGTTTTAGCCCACTCAGTGAACTGTCATGGAGCCTGCTGATGCTGTTGAACCTATGGGAGCAGAGAAACACCATCATCAACCTAAAACAACATCAAGTCAACAAACAAGATCATTTCCATGTTAGATTATTACTTAATTGCAGTTTGGCATCTAATTACAAACTCCGTTGATGTGTTTGCAAAGTAAATGAAAACACTAGCTTAGTATTTGCATACTTTTAAGTTTATGTGTGTTCCTTATCCCGTACCCTAAGTTTATACGTCGTGTTTGTGCAGGCAGGCTCGGAGGTATAGTGAGCAGGGAGCGAAAGGTACAGTGAACTTCATTGGCCTGGTAGCAGTTACAGCTCCTGGGACAGGACTGGCTACTGGGTACCACAGGTGTCAGCACCAGAAGAATCAGCAGTGCTGCCAGCACATACACACTCCGGTACATCTTCACTCCACAAGAGGAGAAGCTGCACAGAGATGATCACTGCAGGAGAAAAACAAAGACAAGATGGGGAGAAGTCAGACGGTGACCAGTCCTAAAATCCAGGATTCTCTCTCTCTTTCTCACATACACACACGTTTGTTTTTTCCTTGTAGGGACTTTTCTTTGACTTATATTAATTCCATGAAGATTTACCCTAACCTCACCCATCCCTAACCCTATGTAAACCAAGTTGTCACCTTATAATTCAGATTTCCATGGTGGAGACCAGCCCCATGAGGAAGTTAGGGGGTACCCTAACCCATACAATGTGAGTATGAAAACAGGTTTTGGTCCCCACAGTGTGAGTGATACCAAGTGCACGTGCGCACACAAAAACACAAATCAATTCATTTTTATTTATGTGGCCCAAAATCCCATATTTGTTTCAAGATGACTTGCAAGCTGTAGGTTACAACATGCATCACTCAATCCTTAGCTACACACTGAAACCTTACAGATATTCTGACACACTGCACCTGTCTCTAACAAAACAGACCTTTGGGCTGTCGACCATACATGTCTAGGATTAACGGAATGACATAAATCACAATATAAATCAAAGAACAAGTTAAAAAAAAACGCATACACACAGAAGGGTTCAATAAAAAGAAACCTAAAATTAGACTCACTACAAACTCCCCTGCTCTCTCTCTCTCTCTATCTAATCTCACAGAAAGGCACAAATACACTTAAAGCATTCAAATCCATCAAACCAACTGGCGAGCGACAGCTGCCAGAGGCTTTCCAACTTGAAGCTGAAATTAAAGTAAATTACGCACAGTAGGAAACCTCCGAGATAATTGTAATGCATATAGTCATGGTTTATAAGAGCATACCTTGAATTCCTCTGGTCCAGAAGAGTGGGTTATTTCACGGAATTATTCATTTTGCCATTCAAATACTGGTTTTAAATTGCGCTGTTCAGAAATTTGATAAGCAATTAACCAGATTCACCCATTAGCCCCGAAACTGCTGAAATGAGAGGCTGATCTCCCCCTTTTTTAAAAAAAAAATTACCTCAAGGGAGCACGTGAAAAGCAGTAAGGCTTTTGTTAACTTCGCATCACAAAATTGCTTTTAGGAACCTCCAACAGCTCCTGCGTCTCCTGAGAAGAAAAAGTACCGCTGGACGCTATTTGCAAACGCGCCTGACGCTGTGTGAAGGTCTGCGTGTGCGCTTGTGTGAATAACCGTGAGTGTGTATTTAAGCTTAGGAAAGGGGACTGTACGGAAGTGAACTTCGAGTGACGCCGAGGCAGAGGGCTCCGTCCGAGGAGGGGCTTTTAGAAAACAGAGGTAACAAACTATGGCGCCTCAGGTAACTCACTGTGCACACTGCGTATAGGCCACCGAAATGGGCTTCAGCTCGTTTAACACCATCTGTCTCCGATGTTGCATTTCTCTCCTTACTGTCTCCATCTATTTTGTGATTCGGTTAGGGGAAGAGTATCTAGATGCACCACAAATATATCTTATACTTATACTACTTTATTTCAACTTAAGTTTACATTTTGGCTGAAAGTTGCATCAGGGGCTTGACAACGAGTTTTTCAAAACTGAGGTCATAAATTGACCTAGAAGCTCCCACCCTTCCAGGAATTTTACAACCAGCCACTAAAACTCTCGATTCATTTAACTGTTCGCTTCTGTTTCATCATTTTACCATAAGGTCTAAATGTTGTTGCACAGCTCTACCTGTACACTAAATACAATAAAAACAATCCTTGATTGTTTTTTTTTACTCTAATGTATTTTGATTTAATAGCTCTTGCCTAAACCTTGAAGATATTTAATATTAAGAAAACCTGGGTGGCATGGTGATGCAGTGGTTAGCACTGCTGTCTCACAACAAGAAGGTTCCAGGTTCGAGCCCTGGGCAACCCGGGGCCTTCTGTGTGAAGTTTGCATGTTCTCCCTGTGCCTGCATGGGTCCTCTCCAGGTGCTTCAGCGTCCTCCCAAAGACATGCAGCTTAGGTTGAGTGGTGACTCTCATATGCCCCTAGGAATGAGTGTGAGTGTTTGTCTACATGTCAGCCCTGTGATAGACTGGCGACCTGTCCAGGGTGCACCCTGCCTTTTGCCTAATGTCATCTGGGATTGGCCCCAGTGTCCCCAGTACAGTTTCAGACAGTTCTTCTGAAATGTTTGTTAGGGCAACTGAATCAGGGGTTGCCCTCTCTTTCCTGTGAGCTCAGATTCTCAGGAATCTCCTTGTGAGCGACTTAAATGGGGGGAGAATTAAAATAGAGTGATGTTCTCAGCTGCTGTCACTTGTAAATAACAGTAACCCCCCTACTCACCTTTTTTAAGGCCCTTTGTATATGTATGTGATAAGTCAGTAGCCCCTCTGACATAATGGTGGTTTGTTTTGATAGACATTTTTAACAGTCATAATAGCTCTCCTGTACAGCATGTGAAAATCCCAGGTTCATACATGACATAACATCCCAATTAAACGGAATGCTTTGTGTTCTCTACTTGCCATGGACAGCGGTAGTACTACAGAACAGAGCAGCAGATGTGAGACTGAAGAGTTGGACTGTCACATCACATGCTTGAATAATATATCATAAAATTAATTTTGAATGACTGTTTATCTCCTAGCTCAGCAGTTAACAAGTGAACAGATGTAAACATTTTACAGATGTTTTTGGATTAACTACATTTACCAGCAAGGTTCTCTTTGATGATTTTGAAAGCATGACCTAATCTCCATTACCTTATAACCCTTGTCAGACAGTGTTAGTCTGTGCGGGCTTCACGGATCTCCTCCTGCACTGATATGGCTGTTAAAAACATTAAGTCCAATCCCAGCGCATTTCATTACAGTATTCTTCACTGTGTTGGAATGCTTTGTACCGTAATAAGTGAATCATTGTCCAACTGGAGGGAAGGAATGAACACATAATGTAATATCAGTGACTCTTTGGGAGAGGTGAATGAATGAATGAATGAAGATGGTATAAAGAAAGGACGGTGAAGGTAAAAGGCATTATGTTGTTGACTTAGTGAGCAGATAAATGAATGAATGAATTACTCGAATGAATCAGTGAATGGCATTTTGGCTACTGTCACTACACTTTGTTTCATTTATGTTTATGGCTTACTATACAAACTCCAGTCCACAGTAAGTCAAGTTCTGGGCTCTCAGCACCTGTCAGTGCAGTGTAGGTCAACCAGTGCTCCCTGTGTTTTTGTCTCTGGGCTTTGGTGCCATCTAGGTCAACTTCTGGAGTACTTTATTTTTATTTTTTTATTTTTCTAATGCACATACCTTGTTCTTGATTGCACATTGTTTTTGTTTTCTTATTCACTTAGTGTTACCTTGTTTACTTGTTGCCTTATGGAGCAACATTGTACATGCGCATGAGAGTCACTGTACCAGAGTCAAATTCCTCGTGTGTTCAACACACCTGGTCAGTAAAGCTGATTGTGAAATCTGTTACGAATATTGTTTAAACAAACTGTAATAGACAGTAAGTATAATTCCAATGTATGGTATAAAATGTTAATAAATAGTTTAATTCAGCTCTAGCTAATTCTGATGCAGCTTTTTAAGGTGCTGTTTATGTGGAAACAGTTTCACCTGATAATAAAGTCTTTTGCCATTTTGGCTGTCCATTTACATGGCAACGGCGTTTAGGGGGTATGAAAATGCAAAAGTTTGATAATGCCACCGTCTCTGTCACTGTGTAAATTGGTATTTGCATTACCCCTGACAGTAATCGTTTTTACATGTTAAATGGAGATCATTTTGAATGCACTGTCTTGTAAACACTGACCATTTGTTCTTTTCCAAGATGCAAAAGAACATTCCTGTGCACCTTAAGATTCATGATTCTGCTAAACACAACATCTTGTGGTCTACTATTGATTTGAGGCTCCATCACTCCACAGGGTCAAGGCTACTAGCCAAGTGAGAGCCTGGAGCATAGCAGCCGAGTGGGCGGCCATGGCAGGGGTCCACTGGGTCGATGGCTGAATCATTACAATGACTTATTTTTTTTTTACAGCATCCTCATTTATTCTCTATTGGAAACCAGGTTATTTGAGATGGCTAGCTGGAGGAGGACTGTCTGATGTGCTAAGCAGACCTCCACTGTAGCCTTAGTTTTTCACTGCTCTGTGATATGAAGATGATCAAATGTAAAAGAAGATTTATACTGAATTTGCAAGTTCCAAGATGAAGTTTGAGCAGTAGAGAGAAAACAAAACCATATAGAACAGAACATTTATGTGAGTAAAAACTGGATGAGAATCAATATAAATCACAGTAAATGGAAAACAGTTTTCATTTGAGGGTTAGACACTCAGGTGTGCCTGCAGTGTGTAGGCCATCTGCTGTATCACAGACATACAGGGAATTAGATCTGCACTCATCATCTAGGGGTCACGACTCTGTTGCGAGTCAGACAGTTACAGGAGAAAAACAATAAATATGATCTTTATAGCTACTGTGGAGACACGACGGCCTGCTATGTTATGTTGAGTATACAGCAACTGCTGAAAATGAATGTAGTTAGTGTTAGGGTTAAAGTTCAGAGCACTCTTTGTGCTTGTTTGAATGATATACAGAGCTTGTTTGAGTAAATCTCACACACAGAAAACAGAAGTGGTTGTAACTCACCCTTAAGCATCTGATCCTCAGGCCAGCTGAGAGAGAGAGAGGAGTTAATAGGGGCCCATCAGTGAGCTAGAGGTCCACAGATACGTCTGTTAGGTTATCACCAGAAAGCAAAAATTGCTGTTATGTTTCATTACATCCAGAGGATGAACAGTGGTGGAAGAAGTGCTCAGATTCTCTACTTAAGTAAAAATAACAATACCACAGTGTAAAAATACTTTGTTACAAGTAAAAGTCCTTCATAAAAATGTTACTTAAGTGAATATACAAGCATTAGCCTCAAAATATACTTAACGTAGCAAAAGCTGTGCAGAATCACACATTACACATCAATGTTTGTCATATTATTGGATGTATTATTGTGCACATTGCATTTAGTTTTGCAGCTGGTAAAGGTGGAGCTGTTGTGTAACTAGTTTATATACTTATAATGTGAACGGCTGGTAGCTTATGAATTTTCCGCCAGTAATCAACAAGGTGTTATGATTATGTCGTATTATTAAGTAACTAGCAACTAAAGTTCTCAAATAAATGTAGTGAAATAAACAGTACAATATTTGACTGAAATGTAGTGAAGTCAAAGGTTGAGGTAGCAGAAAATGAAAATACAAATAAAGTACAGATACCTCAAAATTGTACTTAAGTACAATATTTGAGTAAATGTACTTAGTTACTTTCCATGAAGTATTGAATTTTAAGAATGCAACAACAGAAAACACAAGAAGCCAGTTATTTCCAGGTTGTGGTTACAATGGTCTTGTTCTGTTGTAGAACACAGCATCCGAGTAAGTGGCACTGAGTCTAAAGAAAACAATAAAGAGGTTGATGCCCAAGGGACTGCCCATACTAAAACAGTCATTTATAGTACTGCTAAGTGTACGCCATAAGAAAATGTCGTAAATTAGACCAAGACTCTTAATCTTTGTGGTAGTGGTCATGTTTGTGGAGCCTCACTTTGGCTCTGACTTTAGTAAGAATAGAGGGTCATTGATAGAAAGGAAATTAAATAAAAAAAGACAAAAAGGGGTTAAGAGCGACTGAATGCAAACATGGGTAGAAATATCAATAGGACGTCAGGGAGGTGACATGGGGCAAGGAGAGAGAGAAGGGGATTGATATTGCTCCGTTCCAGCCCTGGAGAGAGCTGATGAAGAGCAGCTAGAGGTCAGCGGGGTAGGGGCAGCTGTGTGCTGATCCTGGAGGCATGACGTCTGGTGGCCTGTGGTCCTTTACATATGCGCCTCTTTAATGAGGCTTTTAAATCGGCACGAAGCACCAACACACATAGGAAATGTCAATAACAAAGACTCAGGTGGGAAATTCTTTTTCTTTTCTCCACTACAGATCTGTTTCACCCCCTGCACTGCTTGTCTCTACGTATGTATCCCATTTTTTAAATTCTTATTTCATTCTCCATACATTTCTGTGACTATAGTTTGTTAACAGGAAGGCACATGATTTCATTATACTCTATAACAAACACAAACAACGTAAATAAACCAATACTGTGTTAGCTTGATCTAATTAGATCCATAAATTCACCCGGAAGTCCGTAATGATTTGATTACACTCTATATTTTTATGTTTTCATTCACAGAGAGAAGCTACTGTCAAG